ACGTATAGTAAGTTAGGTAATATCGTTAACTTTACATCACTTTCACACGTATACAGGACCGGCCCTGAGATTTTGGTGGCCCATGGCAAAGTCAAAAAGAAGGCCCTATAAATGCAAGACTGCTTACAAATAAAAAATTTGTTTTCATTTATACGTGTGTATATAGAATGTAGACCTTTTACAACTAGTAACAAAAATTAGGCCTTAAAAAAAATTTCATTTTATTTGTGGAAATGTTTAAAATTTTTATATATAAAGCAATGATTGAACACAAGAAAAAAAATTGAAAGAGATTGGAAGAAAAATATGACATTTTAAGAAGTAAAATGCACCAAAGGAAGAAAGAGGGGTAGAACAATATATGTTAATTATATAAACCACAAATTAGTCCTTCCAAAATCATTTATAGTCGTTTTTTTTTTTCCAAAGATAGTCCATTTGATACATTTATAATCAGAACATCAACTCATCAAGCATCATTAAAAAAGAAAAAAAGGTTTTATTTCTTAATACTAGTAGGACTTGAACATAGATTTGGTTTGAATAAAATCAAAGAAAACCATTAATGCAAGATGGAACTTCAGAAATCTTGATGTTATTAGCTTCTTATATATACTAGTATACTACTGTACCTCATATTAAGAAACTATTTTAGAAACAAATTTTAAAAGAACAATAAAATAAATAAATATTTTGGGGCCCAGGCAGTAGCCCTTCTCGCCCTGCCTGAGGGCCGGGCCTGCACTTATATTGTTTCAAAATCTTCACAAATTATTTTATGTCTAGTTTCAATTATATGATAACTAAGGTAAGTTAGGTAAAATACACATACATATGTATTGTTTTCACACTATATTCACAAATTATTTTGTGCTGAGTGTCAATAACATGATAATGATAATTAGAATAACGTCTGAGTCCACATCAATTATTTTGTGTCTTATGTCACTTTGATTGTTGTCATTTATCTTTCGAACATATCTCTATATCTTTAGACCAAATTAATTGTGCTATCTCATTTATAATTTAAGATAACCCTTTGATTTAAAGCTAATTTTCACCAATTAATAACCTTGGAGATTTTACATCCCTCTATCGTGCGTGAGAGTTACATTTGAAAAAGAAGAAACAAGCATGCCACATGATCTAATATTTATAATGATCAAATAGCCACATTATATGTACACACCATACTAATATGCACACATTTAAATATCATTTTGCTTATTGCTGTCATTATTTATTGACAGATATGTGCGTATTGATTTCAGGTATTCAATCTGGAGCTGATGAGATTATTATTTGAGAAAAAATTACAAAATAGTGATGTCAGCTCAACTGGACGCATTGTTATCCAAAGGTTTGAGCACTTCACTAGTCTAAGTTAACTAATTAGATGGCTTAATGATTTCATGTGATCAGAAACAATGTAATATATATATATATATATATATATATGAGACACAATATATATACATATATATATATAAGTTTATGAACAGAACCAATGTGTATCGAGCCTTTATAATTTCCAAGCATTCAGTTTCAGTGCTGCTGAATGGATATATAATAACAACTTATATATGAACATATTGCTTCAGAGAGAAGCAGGAGTCCATTTTCCTGTCCTGGAAGGAAGAGATGGACTCTGGATGCATTTGGACGACATGGACTTTATGCATGTTTGGACTTTCAAGATCAGGTTCCCATTCAGCCAAGTCCTACTTATTTTATTATTTTTTTGCTTTGATTTAAATAACAAACTATATATATTATGTGATCTTTTTCACAGGGCATTGGCCCAACAACACCAGCCGAATGTACTTATTTGATAATACGAGTGAGCTCAATCTCCAACTTAATTGCATCATTTCACGTCTTTAAATTTAAGAATTATGTTCTGATATTTTTCCTATTAAGAGGGACAATAATGTATTAAACTCACACACACTACATGAATACTAGAACTCGAACCTAATCCTTTTCTGAGAGAACGATCGCTCTAAACCACTACACTAGTAGATCCTTTGCATAATTATGTTCTGATCAATTAACTATCATTTTTCCAGGAGCTTAATTGAGATACATAACCTAAGTGTGGGGGATCCCCTTTTTCTGTTTAAAGATGATTGGCGCGGATCATATGTAAGTGTTTACATATACACCACAGCTTAGTAACTAATTATAAATTAATTTCTTGATGATTAGTTTTAACTTTTCTCCAGGTTCTCCGAGCTAAAAGGGACGCTATGCGAGAAATAACTTATCCAATCACACAGACCACCCTTATCTTGAAGCCAAGACCACCTTTTGATCATTCGCAGGTCGTCTCCGGTGTTATGGATGCAAACCCAAGTAATTTGCTGGATGTCATCAGAGCAGCTGAAATGTCCGCTGTGCCAGCTGTGATAGATCGTCTTCAAACAACAGAGATGGAGGAGGACAACGTTAATGTGAACATGGATATGGCGGATGCAATGAGTTTTCCAACTTTTGATCATCAAAGAACAGAGGCTGATGAGAACATTGACGTTGATGGAATAGCGTTTCCATCTTTGGATGAGGATATTGATCGGTTTTTCATTCGGCCGCCACTCTGTTCTAGTGATTCCGGCACCGATTACACTTACGACCACCCGGTCAACGAGTTTTTTGGTATCGGAGTGGAACAAATGGAGCCGTTCTATGGACATCCTGGACGATCACCAAGTATTGAGTTTGAGTCCATTAATTTCTCTATCTTCGACTGAAACTCTCATGTAATCGCGTATGAATCAAAACTAGGTTATGTTATAATGTCACTTTGTAGCTTTTTCTTTTTCTTTGGTTCCATGTTGTTGTGGAGTGTATATATGTGATGAATAATTTCTCTTTTTTTTGTTTTATCTAAAGTGGGGTCGACTTGTAAGTCAACTGGCCCGTCTAGCTCAGTTGGTAGAGCGCAAGGCTCTTAACCTTGTGGTCGTGGGTTCGAGCCCCACGGTGGGCGAAATTTCGTTTATTTCTGTTTTAAATTCTGGCTGCTCTTTTTTGGGCCAGAGTTTTGATTTCTTTGGGTTTTGATAGTTTTATTGGGTCAATTGAGAAGACCAGCACTGTGCCGTCTAGCTCAGTTGGTAGAGCGCTAGGCTCTTAACCTTGTTGTCGTGGGTTCGAACCCCCCGGTGGGCGAAATTGTGGTTTTTCTGTTCAAATTTTTGGCTACTCTTTTTGTGCCGAAGTAGTGTAGTGCTGGTTTCTTTGGGTTTTTGACCCTTTTATTGACTCAATTGACAGAACCCATTTGTACCCTACAACCCAATCCGTGTGGTGAATTATCATTTCAATTCTTGGGTCACTTTGAACGCTCCATGAGTAGAAGATTTGCGAACATTTTACAAAAGTCTGGAACATTGCTGAGCTCATTGCTTAACCAGTCATCATCTAATTACTTACCATATCTGCCGGCAACAAATTGGTCAGTGTCTCAGTGAAAGGTCTACAACACAACAACAGATGAAGCTTTGGGCATTGACGTCAAAGTTTTAGAGTTTCTGTCTCATGACAAGTAGCTGATGAGGTAGTAAAGAAACACACATGATACATGCACTTCTGCCGCATGACAACAGCGACATATCAATGTTGTCACTGGAAAGTGGTTGATTCATTTTATGAAAATAATAATAATAATAACAACTTGCAATCGATATCTCAATTTCAAAATGCAGAAAGTCAAGGGAAAACCAACATTCTCTACAATGCAGGCTAATTAATGACAATATGAAAAAAAGGGGCAGGTGATGCTCCTCATTAATTTTTAGCAGAATGGGCAGAGGACACTGGCCAAGTTTAATGCAGTTGCTTTTCCTCTATTTTCTTTCTTTTTCCTGGCTGCCTGCAATGAAAAAGATTCAGAAAATGACATAGGAAAGGACCTTTTTCCTGATTTGATAGAAGCTTAGAAGGTGCACGAGTGGTCTAATCCAGCAGGCTGCTTTCCAATGTCCTCAAAGCTTCCACCATCCTGAAAATGTTTATCAACTTAGGAGATCAAATCACTCAGTATTTTATTTTTAATTATTAACAGTTTTTGTTCGCATGAACTTTCCTCATCAAATTATTAAGTGTTACTACTACCTGAGCCTGAGGGATTAAGCTGGCTTTCTGATCCTCTGTGAGTAATAAGGAAGCCAAAGTACCCGGCGGTGCAGCGTCCGCCAAAGACCGGAACTGGACGGAGCAAGGAGGCTCTAGCACAAATGGCAATGGAGGTTCCAAGCAACATAGTCTCTGGGGGATTTATGTATATGTTGTTGGAATTAGTACAGTTAAAAGGAGATTATAAATGTACTCATGTCTAGCTTCCATGAAGCTACCTGATCTGAAGCACATGGATTTGTACTTGGGTTCAGCTCACAGTCATCATATAGCATGGCATCCACAAAAGCAAGCTTTGCTGCAAGGCACTGAGCAAGGAAATAGGCTGTGGTTACTTACTGGATCATAATAATAACAAAGCGAGCTGCTTCTAATTCTGTTTTCTTAATTAATGTTGGTACCAAGTAAAATTAGTAATGTGTTACCTCAACTTGATTCTGTAGTAATTGAACATATTTGATGATCTCATCCAGTACATGAGCCTTGCCATTTATCTATAATCATGATGTAAAGCAAAAGATTTAAACTAAGATTAGCTGGTAAACTGTGATTTTCTCTGAGAAAAAGTCAGAAACTTGAACCAATAACTTAAAATAATTTATCAGTACCTGATCACAACCAGGAACAAGAGACTGCAAAAGTTTCATTCTCTCACTGATTTTCTCTCTTCTTGCCTGGAAACAGCCATTTGAGAATTGTATCAATTTTCTGTTCTTTTTAAGAGAAATATAGGAGATGGATGAAAGGACTTGCAATTGCAAATACCCTTTCAGCAAGGCTGTGACTGTCAGTTGCTTCACCCCTTCGTGCTTTCACACGGACGCCATCTCTTTGGACCCCTTCAGCAGAAGCAGCGGCAAATTTGCTCTGTTTCTTTGCTTCACTCCCATTCTGCTTCCTCTGTTTCTTCCCTTTGCGCTCTCCTTCTTCCTAACCAAGATTAACCGACACAAAAATAAAAAATAAAAAATAAAGCCACCCAAATAGTGAGGAAAAAAAAACACCCAGTTCACCAAATGCAACATAAAATGCATGTAAGGTACCTCAGAAACCATTTTCTTCCCCTTTCTCTCCACTTGGGTTTTTTGGAACAGCCTCAATCAATCCTGATCACCACCCCACCACCACATATATGTTTGAACTTTCAAGTTTCAAGATTTTCAACGATGAAGGATGATGAGTCTCTGTACTGTGAAAGTGACCATTCCAATTTCCACAAGAGCTACTTTTAAGAAGCTCTGTTTATTAATTAATAAGGTTTCATGCATTTGGGCATGCAGGGGAATCTCCTGAAGTGTTTTCTCCCATCTGAGATATATAATTGGAGAGAAATAGGCGGTGATATAGATGGTTGCTTTATTTCCCAAAATAAGCTAGACAATTTCTTGGCTGTTGGCGCACGAAAGACGAACCAAGAGCATCAGGGAAGGAGATATTGGCAAAAGGCGAAGAAAAGGCTGCCATTTGAGTACTTTGGGTTTGAATTGTAAAGTAGATGGGTCTGGTTCTTCATGATGAAGGCGTTGGCTGGAGCTAGAGTGGGCCTTGTTTAAGGATGAGAGAGAGAGAGTCTGAAAGAGAAAGGAGCTCATCATGTAAAATCTTGATTCTTGTTCATGGCTCTGTCCAAACTCCAACAATAAACTTATTTCTCTCTGTGTCACTTTCAGTTTTTTTTTTTTGGTTTGTCTTTTTTCCTTGGATTGAGATGTTTCTACTTATTTCCAACTCATGACTCAAATAGCCCATTGGATTAAGTCATCAGCCCAATAAAGTAGACCTCATTTGTTTATTTCTTAACTATGGCTATCACATTTCTAAAACATTTCTACTAGAGATGTTCTATATGCTCTCGAGGTTGATTCATGGGCCTTTTGAAACTCCATAAGTTCATTGCTTTCTTTGATAAAGCGATATTTTAAGCTACTCTAATATACAAAGAGAGGATTGAACTTAAGTGCAAGAGGATCGATACTTTACCTAATACATGTGTGCATCACTATTAGTTGGTGTGGTTTAGTCCATTTATCTTTTCCATTTTGTCCTTGAAATTGAAATTCTTGGCAAGGCTTTGTTTGCCCCCATTCGGATTTGCTACACCAATTGTGTTCAATGCTGTTAATTCAATATGATGGGAGGAAAATGATGGTGCTGAAAAAGCAAAGCAAACATCAATTCGGGAATGTCGAATTTTCTTTAATATTTCTTGGCACTATTTATGTCTTTTATTACGCACTCGGGCAAGTGGGGGTGTTAGTGATTGGACATGTTGAATTCTCAGTCAAAATGGCCTTTCGTTTTAGGGATGCACTGTGCATGCCTGTTCGGTAGTGGCTTGACAATGGCTACCTAACAACAGACAAACCTTTTACTGAGCATAACAAAAAACATTATGTAAGAAATCCGACATAAGCTTTTTTTGGTTAAGTTTCTTAAACAACATAATAAATTATTATTCAAAAATTATTTATAAACCTCTACTCTGTTGGAAGAACTCCGAATTCAAATAGTTATTTAAGAGATTAAAAGTAGTTTATTTGCTATTAGTGGGTTGAAAACGCCCCTTATGGGTTTTCTACTCTTTTTTATCACAAGTATTGGGATCTTTCCTCTAAAGATATCCTTTCTCTTGTTAAGGATTGTTTTGTCATAGCTTCTCTCCGTGAGCATCTTAATGATACTTTAATTGTTTTGGTTCCTAAGGTTGAAAAGCCTCTTAATAGGGCTCAACTTAGGCCTAATAGTTTATGTAATATTCTTTATAAAGTGATTTATAAGATTTTAGTTTCTAGGCTTCGTCCTATTATGACTAAAATTATTAGTCTCACTCAAGTCAGTTTTGTGCCAGGGAGACATATAGTTGATAATGTTGTAATTGCTCAGGGGATGCTTCATAAGTTCAAGATTGCTAAAGGACAAAAGTTTTTTATTGCTTGGAAAATTGATCTTTTTAAGGCTTATGATTGTTTAAATTGGCCTTTTATTAGAGAGGTTCTTTGTGAAATTGGTTTTGGGGGGAGAGTTTTGGAGCTCATCATGCATTGTATTAGTTATGTGCAGTATAAAGCTATTTTAAATGATGAGTTAACAATTGATTTCTCTCCTAAGTATCGTATACGACAAGGAGACTCTCTTTCTCCTTACATTTTCGTTATGTGAATGGAAAAGCCCTCCCATATAATTCAGCAAAAAGTTATTGACCAAAGTTGGAAGACTATGCAGATTTGTCGGAGGGCCCTTTGTCTCTCATTTAGTTTTTGTTGATGATTTGGTTTTGTTTGGGATGGCCTCTATAGAGCAGGCTTTAGTGATGAAGCAGTGTTCAGATGATTTTTGCTCCTTTTTTGGTCAGAAGGTCAATTTTGAAAAGTCTATGGTTTGTGCATCCCCTAATACTTGTCCTGTTTTGGCTCAGAATATTGCCTATATTAGTGGTTCTCCTTTACCAGATAATCTTGGTAAGTATCTTGGAGTTCCTTTAATTCAAACTAGAGTTACTAAACATACTTATCGGGAAATTATTGATAAAGTCCAAAAATGCCTCTCTTCTTGGAAAAGTCACACTTTGTCTATGGCTGGCTGGCTCACGTTAGTGCAATCAGTCACCTTTGCTATTCCTATATATTCTATGCAAATTGCTATGTTGCATGCTTCTGTTTGTAACAAGCTAGATCAGTTAAATAAGAATTTTCTTTAGGGGCATGCCTTTGATAAGATTAAGGTGCATCTTGTGAATTGGGAAACTATGTGTAAGTCTAAGTGTGCTGGTGGTTTGGGAGTGAAGAAGGCTACTTGGATGAATTAAGCTTTATTGGCTAAATTCAGTTGGAGACTTCTTCAGAATGACCAAGGGCTTTGGGCCAAAGTTCTTAAGGTTAAATATTTAAAACACTATGATATATGTGTATGCTAATGAGCATCAGTTTCATAGTTGCTCTAGCAGCTAGAGGGGGGTGTTGTTCAGTGCTAAGCTTCTTCCCTTTGGTGTTAAATGGAGAGTAAGTTCTAGTGATTCCATTTTATTTTGGACTGATGTTTGGCTGGGTTATGGTGCTCTTATAAATTATGGCCTCATTGATTTACTTGAGGAAATGCTCTAGTTGAATGTGAGTGATTTTCTAGAGGAGGGTTTGTGGGATATTGCTTGTTTGCAAGAGTGTCTTCCTCTTGATATTGTGCTGATGATTACTAGTATTCATGATAGTTTCATTTATGGTGGTCTTGATATGTGCATTTGGAGGTTTACTTCTAATGGAAATTTTTCTGTGAAATATGCCTATCAATTGTTTTGTCCAGTTGAGGCTGGTTCTAATTGGCAATGAGAGTTTATTTGGAGGTTGCAGCTTCCACCTAAGGTTAAGACCTTCCTTTGGGTGCTTTGTCATAAAAAGCTCCTTACTAATGCTCAAAGGCAATGTAGAGGTATGGCAGTTTCTGCTTCTTGTCCTCGATGCATTTATCTAGTCGAATATGTTGATAATTTGTTTAAAGGTTGTAGTTCTTCCTTTTTAATTTGGAATCAGTTTGGCAGTTGGTTTAAGGAATCTAGTGTTTCTTATCCTAATTTTGATGATTGGCTCTTCCATAATCTGCATTCCAAGAGGTCTTTTATGACTAGTTTGGCTTGGAATTTGGTGTTTCCTGTTAGCCTTTGGTTCATCTGGAAATGGCAATGTAAGTTTATTTTTTGAGAGCAGAATTTTGTTGCTGATTCTTTGGCTTCTATGAGCCATGATCTTCCCTTGGGTTTGCATGTATTGGATTTAGCGCCTTGTGTGGTCGTTAAGCTTCTTGCTGTTGATGCCAGAAGCTTGGCTAATCCAAGGATGGTTGTTGTGTAGTTCTTTTTGTGTTGTTTGAGCTTTGGGCCCCTTTTTACCCCCCAAAAAAAATCGTTGTTTAAGAAAAAAGAATTATGCTCAATCGACATCGTATTTGGATAGAAATCTAATTAGTACAAACTATCAAATTTAGGTCATGATAGAATTATGACTCATATATAGCTTTCCGTATTATATTTAAATAAAAATCGGATCACTAAAGACTTGGTAATATAAAAAAAAGAAAAAAAGAGGAGATGGAGAGCTTTATTATTTTTCTTTAATTTTTATTACTTTTTGAGAAAATTAAAGCAATTAAAGGTAAAATGAGCCAAATATTTGAGGATGCGACAAGGAGTGGTTGCAATTTGCATCTACGTATTGATGGCTTTTGAACTATTCACATGAAATTTCAGACTTGAGAGGAGGGCAAAAAAGGAAAAAAAGAAGAGAAAATAGTGTTCGGGCGGCCTGTCCATCCAAAAGTCCAGGTCATGAGCCACAAACGAGTCAAATTACAAACAAAACTTCCACCACCACAACTAAATTACCAATTCCTTTCGTAATGGGGTAAATGGCTTTTGTCATTAAAAAGCTCACCAGGGCCCTCTGTATCTTTTTCCGATTCATGACGTGTACGGCTCAGATTCAAACTCTTCCGTGTGCTAGATTCCCTCGTCCTTATAAACTCGTCCCTCTTCATCTCCCGTTCTTTACTCTCTCATCGTCTTTCCTCTTATTTTTATGTATTTCTTTTATTTTTTCTCCTCTCGATCCGAATCGTAAATAATCCCTAAGATCGCGATCTGTAAACTCTGCCAAACAGATCTGAAACCAAAGTTTCCACACAAAAATTCAATCCTTCTTCTCTTCTTTTTGTTTCTTCTAATCCAATCTAATTTACCGCGCTAATATTCAGATCTCTGGAAGAGAAAAAAGATAAAAGAACAAAAAATAAACCCTAAAAATTCAATTTTGTAAGAGATTGTATAAATACTTCGTGAAAATCCTTTTTGGGTGTTCGTAGAAGTTGAATAATTTACACCTATTTATGGTCGTTGCTGGATCTAATTGTACTGGGTGGAACAATTTCAAAGAAATCGAAGAAACCCTAGGGGGTCTGATGGGCAAAGATGAGAGTGCCAAAGTTGTTGAAGATGTAGAAGAAGGTGAAATTTCCGATTCAACTTCAGTGGAGGAGATCAGTGAAGAAGATTTTGTTAAGCAGGAGAAGCAGGAAGCTAAGGTTCCTCCCATGGAATCCAAATCTAATGGTGGAGATGCTTCTAGGGTTTGGACGATGCGCGACATCTACAACTACCCTGGATTTCGGGGCTATGGTTCCGGGTTGGCGAACCTCGCTTGGGCTCAGGCCGTACAGAATAAACCTCTCAATGAGCTCTTTGTAATGGATGTCGATTCCGAAGAGAAGTTGAAGCGATCGTCGTCTTCGCTGTCTCTGAATTCTTCTAGTAGAGAAGATAGGAGCAATGCGAAGGAAGTGGATAAAGTGGTGATTGTTGATAGTGGTGATGAAATGGATGTTGAGAAGGAGGAAGGGGAGTTAGAGGAGGGTGAGATTGATTTGGATTCGGAGCCTGCAGATAACGAAAACGCTGCGGCTGGCGAAGCCAAAGATGGTGTTTTGTATTCCAATAATATGAACATCGATAGTTCAGTGACTGATTTGAAGAATGATCCTCCTCTTTTTTCCCCTGAGCAGATGAAAGAGGTGAGCTTTTATTTAATCGAGCTCAGCAACTTTTAGCTGTT